TTTTGAGGACCGTAAAAAATTGCAGCGAAAATGTATGCGCAAAAGCGCCAAATCTAACAAACGCGCCCGTTTAACAGAGCGCCAAATCTAGCGTATGCACTGATTTCAAATTGCGTAATTTTAGATAGTTCTATATTTCTTAAGACGCCATTGAAATACTAGTTTAATTTTTAAATCCTTTTTGATTTCAAATCCTTTTTTGATATCCTATAGATTTAACAATTTTGGAATTGCCCATGACGAAAAGTCTGCAATCCATGTACACTTCGACCTATTTTCACTTTAAAAAAAAATCACAAAAATGGCACTGCGCACACCCTTGACTTTATCTATGTACACATCGGCCTATTTTCACTTAAAAAGTAAAAGAAAATTGATAAAAATTCAATTGTTTTTAACCTTGTAAAAATTGCCAAACAAATAAGTGGGCGATTTTGCACTTTACCAAGAATGTTTTCAAAGAAAAGGCATCATTCATTATAGAAAATTATGTTTGAACAACCAACAAGATGAAATTATGCTTTAGCGATAACTCGGTAGCGAAATAGCGATGCAGGAATCCGTTCAGTTATGTTTAGCTTTTTTTTATATAAATTATAAAAATGATCTGAAATAGTTATTTACTCTTATGCTTCCATTCAGTCAGGTTTAGCCTTTTTCATATAAATTATAATAATAAAAAAGTATTATATGAAATTAATCTTTTATCTAAATTAAAACAATAATCTTTAAATAGTTATTTACTATTATACTTCCTTTCTTGCGTTAGGGTTGCCGCAATTATTTTTGGCAGCACTGGCATCAACGATAGTTTGGCGATTTTTTACGGTCCTCAAAACGGAATAGTACCTAATTACAATTTATAATATCTAGAACAGCGGTCATTTCGTGTGACCGCCTGGTTTTCTAGTATATATATAATCAAGAGATAATTAATATTAAATAATTCAAAAGTGGCAAACTTACTAACAGGAAAAATAATATTTAAGATATGTATCAAGAATAAAACACGACCAAATCCGCATAGCAAAATAAATACAAAATTCATTAACAGATAATAATTGAAAATTCTTTTTCGAGGAGCAACAGGAGAACTTTCAACAAAGCCACGTTTTTGAATTATAATTCGGATGATTGTCTAAGCCATAAAATAAATAAATCAGAAAAATTACGTTTAAAAGGATGTAATTCGTTGCAGTTTTGATTTTTTTAAATTTTAAATGGTATTTTTCCTGTTAGTAAGTTTGCCACTTTTGAATGATTATTTCCTTTTTTTAAGTTTATTTATCTTTATGATTTTGATAATCATCCAGATATAATTCAGAAACGTAGATGTTGAAAATATTTCGGTTGCTCCTTGTAAAGACCAAAGAATTTTCATTATTATTTGTTATTTGATTTTGCATTTATTTTGTTATGTTACTCTGTTTTTGTTTCAGTTTCGATATCTGTTTTAAATTTTATTTTCCCTGTTAGAAAGTTTACTACTTTTAAATCGTTTAATGATATAAATGTCTTGAATGTATAATAAATTTCGCAGCAAAAGGCATGGGTTTAGTATTGTTGCGGGCGTACGGATTCGTAACAGATTGAATGCGCAAGTCTGATAACAGGTTAATACAATTTATTCTTATCAAAAGAAATATAACAGAATACTGGAATTTTTCTCAGAAATATTTGTACAAGTGTTCACAATATCACGCAGTAATAATCAGTAGTTACCCTTCAAACTACTAAAACGTTAAATAGAATGCAATGCACAGCGCAGAGAAAGCTAATCCGATCAACACAGCAGCTAACTAAATAACAACTGAGATGAGATGTCTGTGTCCGGCTTTTTAAAACTTTCAATCGCTCGCCAGAGATTTCTAGTAAGATTTTTGAAAACAACCAGAGAATGGAATTACGATTACAGCTAACACAATAGTCAATTACATTTACTCAATTTCAATGCAAATAAAAGAGATATCCATTTATTCGCTGTTAAATGCACTCTTAAATTTTTACTTTTTCTGCGTAGCTTTCGCTTAAAACTTATCACGCGCTGCATTGCAGGGGGAAATAATACAGTTTTAATTATAATTCTACTAAAATTATACATTTAAATACAAAATTTTTAACAATACTTTTCGAAATTGTTTTATTATTATCTTTTTAATTTAATATGAACAGCTGGGTTATGGTTAACAGTTTTTAATTCACTGATGCTTTAACATTTAAGGCCGTTTAATTTTATTGTATTATTCATGTATTCATTTAAATTTTATTTTCCAAACTCAATGTAATTTATTAAATTGCTTTTTTTCTATATGTTACAATACACTCCCAAATAACCGGCGTAATACCAGCAACAATGTCTGTGGTTAACCAAACTCACAATTAATCTGATAGCAGTTAAAAAAAATAATAAAAAAAACTACAGAATAGAGGAGTAAACTCATTTTATAACTAAGAGAAAAGTGTTATTAACAATTTTACCTAAATTTTTAGCCGTTTAATTTGGTGAATAAATCTTATTTAATTAGGCAAGTTAATCCAGCGTTCAAAACAAGAATACACTTCAAAGCAAAAAAAAAAAAATATATATATATATATATATATATATATATTACTCTTGTATTTCGATAGGAGTCGATGGGAAATAGAAGTTTCATAGCTGAACATTTATTTTTATGATTTAGCAATTTATTTTTAAGTATGATTTAAGTGTTTGTGTATTCTAAATTATAGTCAACCAAATTACATACCGTTTTAGATAAAGAAAAATGCTTAACAAGTTAATTCCGCCTTAAAATTGGGATATCATTTGCTATTATTATTCTTATCCTCCAATTCCCCCCATAGAAATTTTGCTTTATTCCGATTGTAATTGTAATTTTTCTATCGTTCCGCAATAAACATATTTAACTTCTGTTCAGAAATATTAATCAGGAGCCTTTAGCTGATCCGCTCTATGTAGTATACGAACCCACCAACGGCCGAGCGCAAAAAAACTTGGGTTCAAATCCAGGCGAACGGGCTGACTGCATGGTTGTTTTCGTGTTTTTCCTCATGTGTAACGTGTATACGAGCCAATTTTCCTTAGTTCACGAAGTCATTCCTTCCCTTAGGCAGATAGCTCTAGTGTGCTTTGCCATAATAAAAACTAAACCAAACCAAACCTATATACCAAACCTTCTTGACTATGCGTTCTCGAATAGCGCTGATGGCAATTCAAAGCTTTCTTTAACCGAGATGGCATTTCTCTTGAATTTTTGTGACAGTAGTTTTCATTTTCTTTCTTTTTTCCCCCTTTATTCAGTATTTGCATTTGTATTTTTTCATTTACAAATTTATTACTTTTAATAATTATTTTTAAAAAACGTTTGTATTGTAATTACTATTGCTACATTTAAAATGTACTATTAGTTCTTCGTCAGATTATTGCTATGCTTAAAATCCCCTTTATTAGAAATAGAATTAGTTCTTTGTCATTCTTTTGAATATTAATTCATTTTGCATTTTGCATATTAATTAATTTTTCCAAGAGCAAATTATAATTATTATTATATTTTATTGCATTTGTATATGATTCCTTTCTTGGGGATTCACGATTTATGTCAGAAGGAAACATTAAATGCAAGCGTCAGTAAAAATAATCTTAGAAAAATAAGTTATTTTACTTATATTAGTATTTGAAGAAATGCAACAAACTGTAAGATACTGTAATGTAACAATAAGATATTATACTGCAACAAACTGTAAGATATACTTCTAAAAATCTATAATAATATGGAAAAAAATCCTGTTTAATATTTTTAAGTAGTTAAATAACTCATTGAGCCGTTAAATAACTATGTCATGTTAACGACACTGATTTACTATCCCATCAGAAATCTGTTACATTGACATGTAAAAGCTTTTATTTTTCAAAGTACAGGGTGACACAAAAAACGGGAACTTTTTAACAATCCAATAAAACCAAGAGTGTTCGAAGAAAAATGTTTTATTCATAGTAATTGAAACTTTAAAATTTGCCATTTAAGAAACGTTAATGGAATTTATCATTTTTTAAAAATTACGTCCTTTGAATGGCGATCTCTTGTACAAATGTATTCTTGAAATCTGCAGTTGAGATTTCTCATTGACCGCTGCAACATCTCAGCTGGGATTTCATCCTGAATTCTCTGTTTTAACTCATCCAGAGTTCTTGGTCGAGTCGTGTACACTTGAGATAGCCTCTCAAGAAAGAGTTCCCAAACGGAAAAATCTGGCGATCTAGGGGGCCAGGGAACATTACCGAATCTTGAGACCACACGGTTACCGAACAATTCTCACACAGCTTCCATTGACTGCCGTGCAGTGTGTGATGTCGCACCATCTTGTTGAAACCAGGTTTCTTGAACGTGTAGGAAATTGTTCAGTTCAGATGTAACGAAAGGTTGTAACATCTCCAGGTAATGATCCACATTTACAGTTACTGTGATCCTCAGTTCATTAAACAAAATTACTAATAATGTCCGATGATCCCATGTAATGAAACAGCACGCCATACTGACACCTTACTAGCGTGTAAAGGGCGCTCCTGGACTTCATTAGGATTTGTGTCTGTCGCCCGTTCCACTGACTTATGGTTACTAAAATGGCGGAGTGTTTACTTGCTCAAGGTCACTGTTACCGAGATACTACCACCTGCTCGTGGGTGCTACTATGCATTTAAAAACTTCACGTTATTCGATGTCACTGTGCATATTGAAAAGTATTTGTCTAAACGTAAAACTTGTGTTTTATAATGTTATTTATTATATGTATATATATATATATGTTATTTTTAATTGTTGGTGTATCTGTTCTTCATTAAAGAGAAGCATTTGTTACCTGCTCTGCCACCATGTCCTGCATGATCGGCTTCTGTGACTCTTTTCGATGTTGTGATGTGCCTCAATATAACTATTCACCCAGAGGCTGCAGAATGGCAATACTTAAACATTATTCAGTGTCCGTTTATTATTTTCCTACAGAAAGAGAGGAGGCAGAAAAACCTCGCTTCAAGGAACGCTGCTTGGCGAATTGTTTGAAATTCATAGACATCTTCTGCGTATGGGATTGTTGCGATTGCTGGATACGTTTTCAAGGGATTGTCTCGCTAATAGTCTTCGACCCCTTCATGGAGCTCTTCATCACACTTTGTATAGTAGTAAATACCCTCTTCATGGCCATGGACCACCACGAAATGGATGCGAATTTTGAGAAATTCCTGAATTATGGAAATTATGTAAGTGGGGGCAATAGGAAATGCATCCCTCCTTTTTGCACCCTGGATAATGCAAATCAACAAAAACCTAGTTGTTATATTCCTTTATGTACACTTTTGCTTCTTTATGTAGCACTTCTAATGTTTTCTTTTTCATTTGCTGCAATAAGAACTTAAATGCTTTGTAATACAATAATTAATCATGTCCTTCTGGATCATTAAAGTTATGAGTGATAATTCTCATGCTTTTTTTATGCCCTTAAATTTGCTTTCTTAAATTCCCGGCTTTTATTTTTATTTTATTTTTTTTTTTTTTTTATTTTTTTTTCCATGTGTACAACAGCTGTAATATATTTTACAGGGCGTCCCATTCGAAAGAGGCCCCGGGAAAAGTGTGATAAAAATCTTATAACAAAAGGAATAAATAAACAAAAATTTTGCATAGCATGGCTTTATGTTTGAGAAATAAAAGTGCGTTAGAAGAGGTGATGGAAGTGACCTCCTCCAACCTGTGTACAAAGTTCAACACGGTGTTGCATTTTGGTGTATGTTGCTCCCAGATTACACGTGGTAGAGTGATGAAGCGTAGTTCCACTTGTCAGGATACGTCAATTAACGAAACACACGTTTATGGAGTCACGACAACCAGCATGTACCCGTCGCAGAACTCTTTCATTCACAGAAGATGGGTGTGTTTTGTGCATTACCATAGAGGCGTATCATCAAGCGAATTTTTTTACATTATTGTTACCACTGAAGTGTACCAGCACTTTTTCATGAATTTGTAAACTAGTTGGATGATGAGAAGCTGACACTTGGCTCACCAGCAAGAATGAGGCAACATGCCACACAGTAGTGAATATGAGACGGGTGGAATCACTTTTCCGACTTTTGCAGACTTGATCTCCTTTGAGTTTTTTCTATGGGGTCGCCTTAAGAGGTTATCACACATGGCTACAGTCCCTGCTAGACAAGACTTTTCTGAGAAGCGAGATTCTGGTAGCACTGGTTTAAACAGAAGGATTCTTAGAAAAAAGAGCCCCGCCTGAAGCGAAATCCCGCCTAGCTACGGAAGCAATGTTGCGGCTACGCGGGATTTTTTCAAACCTCACCGAAAATGTCTCTCCGGGGTAGAGACAACCAATCAAACGAAAGTTCTGCTTCTGAAGGATCACGTGATCCCGATTTGAGCGATAATCGATTACTGTTTGGCGTTCACGTCTTTGTAGTAAGTGAGAATGGTAACCTAGCTACGGAAATGTGCGGGCTCTGAGAATTGTCTCTTTCGACGTCAAGTTCCGCGTAGCCGAAACATAATGGACCTTATAGGTAATGCGCACAAGCACAAACTATGCACATGGACGATTTGCGTCAAAATGTCTGTCGTGAAATCCAAGAAGTGACGCCCAATACCCTGGCAGCAACATACGCGAACATGCAACACCATATTGAACTGTCTGTACAGATAGGGGATCACTTCCAGCACAACTTTCTAATGCACTTTCATATTTCAAACATAAATGTATATCATGTAAAAATTTGGTTTCTTTTCCTTTTATTATAAGATTTTTATTTCACTTTTCCCGAGGCCTCTTTCTAGTGCGACACCCTGTACACCACTGAAATACTTTAATGCACATTTGTAAATTATAAGAGAGTATTCAAAGTTATGAATGGATACAAACAAAACTGCAAGTAAGCAAAACAGCTGTTTCTAAATTTCGGTAGAGGATTTTAATAACAGCCAAAGGAAATCCTATTTTTTCATCGATTACAAATCTTTAGTTCATTCTCCTAGAAGTTTTGGGTATTCAACTGTGGCAGAATTAAGAAATGCTTAGATTAGAAGCAAAAGTTAAGAGAATTTTTAATAATTCAGTGCTTCGGCTACTGAAAGAGTTTCTGTTATTCACTGCTAACATTAATTTCCCAATAACTGAAGCTTCGGAAACGTTTGCTTTCAAAATTCGTTAAACATCTGAAATTCGCGATTATTAAATTCTTACTATTAGCGCACACTCTCCCGCTATCTTGTTCAAATTTTCAATCGTTAATAAAATACTTTTTATTCATCAAGTTGAAGTATATTTTATTAAACTTGTAGTGGATGACACTGAACGTTAATACAGTTTTTTTTTCACATATTAAAGTCAATTCCTACTTATTTATTCTATTTATCGAAACTAAAGATAGGCTGTTTTTTTTTAATAAATTATGAGACAAACAAATAATGACCGTTTATTAGGAATTCTCATGTGCTGTAAAAATTAATTGGTATTTTTCCTTTTCGCCGGCGCAAATCTCGCCAAGCAGATTTTATTGGTGACAACATATAGTATACACAAAAAATATTTAAAAATGTTAATTCTAAGAATTTTTTATTTTGAAGGCATAAACGTTTTAATATCGTTTAAAATTTTGTAAAAAGCCAATAAATAAAGACAATAAATTTATAAAAAGACATTAATTTAAGAATTTACTATGCTATCATGGTTTAATATCCTGATTCGCCGGTTCATATCACGTGATCCCAAGTGATTTCATCTCACGTTAACTACATTTTATGGAATTTAACGAACTTTTACAGGTCCTTAGGGGAATGATAACATGTAGTGGTAAAGGCCTTGAGGTCGAACACCACTTAACGAATGATGATCTCCGACGTAAACTACGCTACAAAAATCTAATTATCTCGGTAATTATCTACATTAATTTCAAGTTAAATCTTAATTTGGAACACAAGTTTAAATGCAAGAATTATTTTAATTCGTTCGAATAGCTTACTCAGAAATTATGTAAAACCGCAGTGCTTTACTCGCTAGTGCATTCTTATTAGAATTTGACCCTTGACTTTTCTATATTTTCGGCTTCGGGTAAGCGGTGTGATTGTATCCTTGACTTAATTACCGCGAATGGCCTTAGGGCATAAAATTGAACTACCTGGTAAAAATTCTATGTAATTGTATGCTAGTATTAAAAAAAAACAATCAATCTGATAAGAAATGGCTGCGACTTGTTTTGAAAATGAGGACCAAAAAGTTGCCATCGAGGATATTCCGTTTGGCATCAGTTGTACTACTATTATTGGCGACTTTATCGCCTGCCGGCAAAACGGAAAAGTACCAATTAATTTTTTAACAACTTACTAATAAATAACAGTACATGGCTGTGATAGATGGAATTGTAGTGGCAGCAGTAAGACAGAGTTCTAAAAATTTTTTAATTGTATGGAATTAAAGAATTGTAGCTTTATAGAAATGGATGCAACGGATGGAATGCCCGATGATGTAGCGAAAATTCTCCCCATATTCCTATGCTAACGTGGTAATAATATATGTTTAAAATATAACCCTTGAAATGTGCCTTGCTTCACACACGGAGAATGCGAAAAGAAACTACAACACAACGCAAGGCGATGATTAGAGAAAGAAAAAAGAAAAACAGCAGCAGGTCAAGCATATGGTCGCCTTGAGTCGTGTGAAATTATTAGATGGAATATTAATTGAAGAACTGGACTGCTCAAAACTGACTGTAAAGGTTCCTTGCAATAATGAAGCATTAACAAGAGATGGATAGAATGAGAAACTATAGACCACCATCAGCTTCATAAATTAGAAACGAAAAAATGTTAATAATGTTAATGAAAGTAACTAAAATAAAATTTTTCTTTGTTGACCTAAGTAGGAACTGACTTAAAAAAAAAATTATATTGCTTGTTAATAAGGTAACTGACATCTGCATCATCAAAAAATGATTTGGTGGAAGATGATTTCAATTATCATTCCCAGAGTTTTATATTTCATATATTTGGTCTCCTCATAAAGAAATTAAACAGGTGTTTAGCTATCTTTCTATTTTTTTGTATCTATGATAGTAAATATTTTACTTTTTTGATGCAAGTTTCATTCATGAAAGTTTCTTTGATATGTTTTTAAAATAAATATTTCAAATTGTGTTTCCAGAAGATATTTAAAATATTATTTTCAAACATTATTTTGAGAAATATTATTTTAAAGAAATATGTTGATTGAAAGGAGAAAGTTTTCTTACTTGTTTTTAACGTTTTAAAATAATTGAAACTTAAGATTCTAATTTTATTTTGTATAAATACATTACTCTGAGGAAAAATTTATCGATATTATCTCTGCAAAATTAAGTAAGTAAATGAAAATAATTGATATTTTAATAATTAAACACTTTATAGATTTTTATAGATTTTCAAGTAAGTAAATGAAAATAATTGGCATTTTAATAATTAAACACTTTATAGATTTTTAAGGCAAGTAATTAATTAAAGACTTTTACATTTGTGAATTATATTTCATATGCTTATTAAAAATTCTAATGAGATTTTCTTTCATATGATCAATTTAATACAAAAACTTAAAAAAAAAGTAAAATTTTTTTTTTTTTTTTTTTTTTTTTTTTTTTTTAAGAATTTAAATTTTTTGGCATAAAGTAAAGTTTTGCGCAACTAAAAGTTTTTATATCTCGTTACCGAGGAAGACATTGCGACAAAAGTATCGACAACGAAAACGTCAAGGAAGAGACAATGCTACGAGGAACCTCGTCCTAGAAAGCATCGGGGTAAGAAGAGGAAAGGCAAGGAGATATTGCAATTCTAAAACACTCTGATACAAAATATATCGTAGGAAATACAATGGTGATAAATTTTGCAATTCGGAATTATACGAAACGTGCTTGTTAGCGAGTGTGGTATCTTGACTCGGGGAAACTTGTCTAAGATAACCACTCAAGGTTTCAGATGATTTTTGTCTTTCACAGAGGTGGTCTTTTAAGGGAGATGATGTTCAATTACAGATGTTAATTTATTTTTTCATAAATACTCGTTACTTTCAGAGGTGGTCGTCTCAAAGAAGTGGTCATTACGAGAGGTTTCATTGCATTTTAATCAAGAAAAAAACAAAAAACGTACCTTTCCCACACTGCGAATATTATATGTTTAATTTTCACTCCTCGCGTTTTTTTTTCCTCTACGACGTTTTTATTCTCGATGTTTTTACCGCAATGTTTTCGGCGGACACCCTTAAGCTTTTTTTACTTTTTGAATTAATTTCTGGATTTGATTTATCGATGCTAACATAGTTTCAAATAGTGTGGAAAAAATAGTGTGTCTCTGGACCAATCATTTACACTTAGAAAGAATAAATGCTTATCTTTTCTTTTTAGTTCTTTACAGCTACTTTTGCCATTGAAGCAGGCTTCAAATTAATTACATTAAGCCCCAAAACTTATTTCTGTGAAGGTTGGAATATATTTGATTTCATCATAGTTGCTCTATCTCTACTAGAATTAGGATTAGAAGGTGTTCAAGGTCTTTCAGTTCTCAGATCTTTTCGTTTGGTAAGTGATTTTTTTTGACAATGTCTTTCATCATTTATATATATTTTAAGGCACTTTTAAAGTTTTTATCTTTTTGACTCATCTCTGAAATCTAATAAATAAAATAAAACCACAAAATAAATGGATTTTTGAATTTAGGTAAGTTTGCACTTTATTATATTCTATACAGCCTGATCACCGATGTACAAATATTGTTTGGTAATATTTAATATATATGTATATATACTACACTTCTCAAAAGTGAAACTGCAACACCAAGAAAGAATGTGCGTAGCGTCATGCAAATTGCAGGAGCGAAAGTTGAGGTGGATATGTAAATTGTTAAAAGTTGCGCACGCATTGGATCACGTGGTACGCATATTGCGGGCTAAAAAAAATATTGCGGGCTAATAAAAGTCAGCCACTTTCAGCATCTGAGGGCCATAAATCAGGAGACGTTATCAACTCACGAGACACAGAACAGCAAATCAAGACTCCTCCAGACCAATGAGTTGAAACTTCAACACCCACGTGGCAATAGTCACGTCCCTTACCTCACCCTCACCCTCAGCGCTCCTACAACAGCGGCAGCAGTCAGTCAAGAAATGCTATAGCCAGGCGTCGAATGACACTACTTCAGAGAGTCGGATCACGTCATGCAAGTTCGCATGATAATTCCGGCATATCAGCGGAACTAGGAACATCTGAGGGTTTATGGAGCATTGGAGGCTATAGAAGAAGCATAGAAAATGTCTTTGAGACGTCGGGCGAGCTCAATCGGCTCAATACCATCAGTTAACGACCGGGGAATGTGACCGTATTATCGAACTCCGAGCTTGGTTTGTCGCTACGCACAATAGCCACCTGTGTTGGGCACAATGTGAGTACCATCCAACGTTGTGTCAGTTAGGCCGGTATATTCGAGAGTTAATTATTAGAGACCCTTTCTCCACGTCACGTGACATCCGAAGCCAGGAGCAGATGGATTCTGTGTCCATCCAAACTATTCCCAACAGATTGCATAAAGTACACTTACGTTCACGGGTACCAGCCACAAAAGTACCATTGACTGTTGAACACAAGACTAAACGCCTGGTGTGGTATCAGCGTCATAACGTGGGGAACACCATATGGCATCGGATTTTCTTCACGGATAAATCTCATTTCTATCTCTGGAGGAATGATGGCCGTCGACTGGGCGACCCGGAGATGACGAACACCCGGAGAACGCTACGAAACAACCGATTTTTGTCGAGCGTCATACCGGTCCTGCACCGGGCATTATGGTTCGGGGTGGCATAATGTTTGATCACAAGACGCCCCTGGTACACATTAACGGCAGTTTGACAGCGGTCCGCTACGTCACGCAAGTTGTGGAGCCCGTTGTTCTGCTCTGGTTGCAGAGCGCACCCAACACGGTATTCCAACAAGACAGTGCCAAGACGCATGTCGCGTGGCGCACTTTTAGCCTGATCGAGTTTAACATCCTACCCTGATCGGCAGCGTCTCCAGATCTGAATCACATCGAATACCTGTGGAATCTTATTGGACGTGACATTTACCGAGGACCACGACCGCAAACCCTGGATAATCTGCGTGCAGCAGTTGATGTGGCTTGGCAAAGGCTACCTCAGGCAGCCATCAATGAGCTCATTCTACTAGTTTCTGTTTATGTATTTGTACATTTTTACTTTCTTAAAGTTTTTATTCTTACTGAAATTTTAATTCAAAGAGTTTGGATAACATGTCAGAAAAGCTGTTCAACAATGTAAGACAACATGAGAAATAATATTCTAAAATGCAAATTAATTTTTAACTATTTAGACTCTTGCAGTGTTGACAAAAGCGTAACATGTTATTCAGATTCATTTATCAACCTGGTTTAATGTTTCAAATAGTTAACCCATGACAAGTTCTCTTTTGAAAAATTAAATTGGGGTAATTAACTTATTAATTAATTATTATTATTTTCATATATTATTTTTCATAGCTTCATTAATTCTAACGATTACGCCACTGTTTTAACATCCCATACAAAACGCTTATTTGACCATCTTTGACTACTCTAAATTTTCATTTTGACTTTTAAGACCTCTTAAATTTTCCCCAGTCTACACACTTTTGCTTAGATAGGTAATCAAAATTTCTATTCCTTTTGTTATAAGTTATTATAATTATGTTAGATTAATAAATTAGAAGTTAGATTTTTTTCGCAAGCTTAAAGATTCATTCAAATAAGGGAAAGAGATGAAACCAAGTTACTGAGAATATTCCGGAACAAAGTTAATGTCCCTTGAAAAGTCAGTTCTCTTCCACGAAATCAACAATAATTTATTTTATTTTGTTTTAATTTCTTTAAACATTTTCATATTTTGTTTTGGCACTTTGAGTTTTATTTGCTGACTTTACAGTTTTAAACTTCTTCTAGGTCTGTTACATGTTTAATAGTTTTAGATAAATCTTCTTAGTATTAACTTTGAATTTAAATAGATTCAATAACAATAGTTTTACTCTTTATTTCCTAGGCTAAAATCATAAATAAGAAATCAGTATTTAAATAAATAAATATATACAGCGTGTCCTGTAAATGTGGCGGCAAACTTCTTGGGGAGGTAGGACACATCATAAGGATTAAGAATTGCATCGGAACTCATGCCGGAAATGTCAAGGGTATAACTGATAGCAGAGGTAGAAGATGGGAAAGAAAACAAGAGAATGATTAATTTGAAACATTTATTGGACATGAATGCAATTAATGTACGACAGCTTGAATGTTACAATGGATACCCGAAATCTGCACCATCAAGACGCCATGTCTGACACCGACGGACATTGTCGGACATGTTCAAAGACATCGGCAGATTTTTTATTGTTGCAGCTGAGCAGGCGAGTCTTGCCACGAGATCTATTTCAGACATAATAGGATCGTGATACACGACACTTTTAATAGCTCCCCACAAAAAGAAATTAAGGCTTGATAATTCCGGTGAGCGTGGGTGCCAGTGAACCGGTCCACCACGCCCAATTCATCGATGGGGGAATTAGTTCAAATGGCTACGAACATCCAGTCCAAAAGGAGCAGGCGCCCTTATCAAGTTGGAACCACATGCTGCGCCTCACATTTGGTGGAATATCGTCAAGCAAGCCGAGAAGAGCTTGCTCCAGAAAGATAAGTTAATTCGCGGCATTCGACCTCGATGGTAAAAGGTACGGATGAACTCAGCAGTCGCCAATCCGCCTACACATTAACTTTGAGCGTTGTTGTGGCTTTGGTGAGGGTTTTCTTGAGCCCACAAATGCTTGTTGTGGTGATTGAATACGCCATCCTTATTGAGTGTGACTTCATCCATGAACAACACATACGCTGGGAAATTAAACATCACGGGCACTGTCCTGCAGAAACCACTGTGTGAATCGCATGCGTTCAGGATGGTTATCGGGGAGCAGTAACTGGACCCTTTGTAAGGGCGTGGAAGGACTTGGCGTTCAAGACACCTGGGCACTTGTACGATTCATTCTTAATTGAGAGGCAATGATACGTATGTTGGTCCTTGGATTGCTCTCTGCCGCATCAAATACACTTTCTTCCCTAATGACCCAACGAGGCGATCGTGTTCTGCCTTCACTTTCCCTGCCACTTCTTAATGACCCATAGTCGCACAAATTTTGATGCAGACGTGCAAACAAACTGTGGTGTGGTTGATATCTGTCGGGAAGCGTTTTCGATAAGTGCTTGCAGCGGCTAGTCTATTACCCTCCGTTAAGTGCATGTCATGCTAGCTCTCCGTTCGTATAGCGTTCCATGCTCTTCGTATGGTGCCTACACCTTGAATGAGGCGATCCTCACTTTCCACTAGCACTGTCCTGTAGAGCACATTCTGGGGACTTAGAATGACGTTTCCGGGCATGGGTTCCTATGTAATTCTTAATCTTCATGATGTGCTCTATCTCCCTCAGAAGTTTGTCGCAACATTTACGAATCACTCTGTATATAACTGAAGAGCCAAAATAATATGACCACCCACTCAAAAAAAGGTCGTGTTGTGGGATCTTTGGCTTGCAAAACAGCTGCAAATCGCCTTCGCATGGATGGCACAAGTTCTTGGTAGATGACTGGAGACAGGTTGTACCAAATGTCTAAGCAGCGGTAACGCAAAATCGAGATATTTCGACCTGGTGGTGTTTGAGCTTTGAGCTGAAGCTCTATGACATCCCAAATGTGCCCTATCGGGTTAAGATCCCGCCACCGCCAGGACATTAATTGGAATTCATCCTTATGCTTCTTGAACCACTTCAACACAATTCGAGCCTTGTGACATACAGCGTTGGCCTACTGCAAGATTCCATATCCATTTGGGAAGACAGACGCCATGTAAGGATGCAACTGATCAGCAATTATGTATAGATAGTCCCATCTTTCATGGTCTGTTCTACCATAAGTAAGGGTTCCAGACCCGCCCATAAAAACGTCCTCCAAAGCATAATACGTCAATACCAACCTGTGTGTGACATACTGTGGGGTAAATTGTTCGCTCGGAAGACGGCGAACCCTGACGCGACCATCGACGTGATGAATGAGAAATCGTGATTCATCTGACCATCTTCCACTTATCCATGGTCCAATCCCACCGCCTGGCGCTGATCTTGCTTTTCGAAGCGGGACAGTCTTCAACGTCCTTTTTCATTGATGACGCGTGGAGGTCTAACACCTTAGAGTCTACTGTTGGTTTCCCCGTTCTTTATCTCCTTTGCAAAGATACTAACAACCGCAGATAGTGAACAACCTACTAGTCGTGCATTTTCGGAGATACTCGTTCCCAGTCTTCAGGCCGTTACAATCTGCTGTCTAGCAAATTCAGCAGCTTTTCTCATCATTCGCAAAAGCAAGTGCAAGAATGGTTCCTTACCCTCTCCAGCAACAGTTAAAGTTTTGATCACGTACACATCCAGACGAGTTCTTTGAAGAACGTGGGGATGGTCATAATGTTTTGGCTTGTCAGTGTATATGCATATATATAGTGACAAACAAGCAAATCACAAGGCGACATCTTGATTAAAACATCTTTAAACAAGCATAGGTTGACAAAAAAAGTCTTGGAGATTAATACATTAAGTGTAACTGAATAAATATACTTGTACTTTTTATGTTTTTAAACATATATTATTTTGCATGGTGTGTTAATAAATTGTTACGGTACATTATTATTTATAATTCCGTGGCACCTTTTAAAAATACATTACAAATAACCCATGCTACCAGTACCAAATCTAATGACACCGAAACACAGGTGAATGCATAGTGTTTTTTACATATTTCTTAAACTCTTAATGTGTCCACTTTTGTTTGTACGATAGAATCTTTTATTTATTGTGAGGATTTACTGCATGGACGTACTGAAAAGCTGACTAATACCAGAATGGAAAGAATGTAGCAAATTATCTCTCTCCATGAAACAACTGTCGAAACTGACTACCATAGATTGCAATCAAAATCTACCACAAAGAGATATCATTTGCAAGAGTATCCTAATCAGTGTTTACTACAAATGTGGATAAAACGAGATGATGGCCACTACAAGCTAAGGATTTAATTTTATGTTTTTAAGGATTTAATTCCATGATGTCCCCCAGTATTTATATTGGGGGCTATCAATCTTTGCGTTTCCTTTCTTCACTCATATCCAATACTGTCAATGCAGTGGTTTCCGGTCACTCGTGATACATTGTCATGTGTATGGTATAGAACAAATTATTGCAATTCTGCTGCATGAGGGAAGGTGGGCATAATGAGCAATGTGTAAAAAAATGACGAATTTACCTATATTTCAGTATAATAAAATCCAGTATCAGTCACACAGTTTATTTATTACATATTTTTAATATTTCAGGAAGTTTTGAATAACCTATATAATTAGTCAATAATTGCCGCCCAGTCGGGAAGGTGGTTAGTAACTCTGATTATCGTACCGAAGGATCCGGGTTCGAATCCAGGAGAAGTCATGGATTTAAATTGTCTGTCCCTTCGTAGGAGGCTACGATGGCCCACCTGTTTATGTGCCTTCATAATAAAGTGACCACCGCTTCCGGCCTTAGTAGTGGCCATCGCTTACAATGGCTAGTGCCCACCATTGGGAAAAACAAAAAGTTAATAATTTGACTATGTGCTAATGTACAGTCTCTTAACCCAAATTAAATGATATTATGCTATAATTACAAATATGCTGTAATTACAAATTGTAGACATAAGATTACATGTATAAGTTTTAATGAAATAAAACTTCAGTTGGCATCCAGGTATCATTTTGTTAGAGTATCGGAAAATTTTTAACTTAATTGTGAGCATAGATTATTAATTTAATTATATAATCTATGGTATGTATATAGTATTTAAATACTTTCCTATAACATACTTTCTTTATTACTTTTTTTTTTATTTATTTTGTTTTTATTTAATTCAACTAACTTTCTTTTTACTTACTTACTTACTTTCTTTATACTTAAATTATACCTTTTTTTAAATTTAAGTAATTTCTAATAACTTACCTTTTACTTTCCTATAACATACTTTTCAAAAATAACTGGGAATTATCTTATACATTACATCTTTTTGACTTGATTTCAGTTTTATGAAATATGTTATTTACTTATTTTGTAATGGTAGCCTATTTTAGATAGGCTACCATTACAAAATAGGTAGCCTATTTTAGGTAAGGTTTCTAGTATTGTGCTTATGTTTGAAAATTATAAATTACATGTATCTTTTACTCAAATAAATGCTATGCAAGTATTTTGGGAAAGAACTTTTCAGTTGATTATTTATATGTAATTTATTTTGTGTATGAATTTTTAACTTTAATCCTCCTCCTATTAGTATACGAGTATTATTACTTACATATTAATAGTCAGTAATATATTATGAATTACTTTATACTAAGAAAAGACTAACTGAAAACATTTAAATATATGAGTATAACATTGATATATTTCTTTTCTTTTTCTGTGTTTTTCAGTTAAGGGTATTCAAATTAGCAAAATCTTGGCCTACTTTAAATCTTCTAATTTCTATTATGGGCAAAACCATGGGTGCTTTAGGAAATCTGACTTTTGTTTTGGGCATTATCATCTTCATTTTTGCTGTAATGGGTATGCAGTTATTTGGAAAGAACTATGATGAGAAGAGCTATGTGTAAGTATTGGTACTAAGTATTTTTGGATATATACTAGTGATGCAATTTTCATTAAATTTTATTCTAACACACGAGACTGTGAATATCTGTGAAACTTCATGTTTATTTTGTGATATCTTTTCAAATTGTGATATTTAACAGAACCCTTTATTCAATGACTTGTTTTTAAACAATTTTGATTAAAACAATTGAACTTAATTTCATGTTATAAATTCAAACAGTATTTAACGATCACATTCTTGCTATATTAATGCTATAGCTTTAAATATCATAGTAAACATAAAATTTATGGCATAAAATTCTAACAACTTTCCTGGGAAACTCAAAGTCTACAAGGCCAAGAAATTTGAAATTTTGGAAATGAATAGCACTTTGATACACATGGGTGATAAAATATATTGTTGATGGAACATTATGCATAATCTAAAGTCACATGCAAAATTTTCAAAATTCTTTGCAATTATAGAAATGTATGCATCAAAGGTGGATCTGGGGCATCCACCTCCTTAACAGGGTCATTGCTTGCTTCATTATTTCTTTCAAATATATATAAACGATTGTATATTTGATATTACTTTTTGACACCAAGAACTTTTATTTTCTTTGCTTCTTCTTGAAGATACCCTTGAGCGTAATGCAGTCGAAAATATAGTGATCCAAGTCATGAGTTCCTTCTGATGTGCATAATTTGTCATTGCTGAATCAGAAGCGGAGGAGGCATTCAACGAATGGCCCATCGTGAACTTAGCAACACAATTGTAATATTAATATTATCATCTGTATTCGTTCTTTTATCGGCGAATTTTCGCCCTTCTTCATTTATGTAAACATGGACCCAGTATGTAGGTGAGACGCATAAGTTCTGCGATAGAGAGCAATGTTACTGTCTTTGTAGTTTTACAAACTAATGAATTCTTGCTTTGGGAATTTTGGTATTTAATTTACGTGCAGACTGCCAATGAGTCTGAATTAAAATTCATTTTAAATTTCTGGTCACGTGCATATGAGATGATTCGTTGCAAACCTACAAACTCTGCCTCAAAAACAAAATTATCATTATGCAAATTATCCTATCTGGCTTCTATCCTGATATCAATATATGGTTTGTTTTCTAATGATATTAATGAACCAACAGTCGATATTATCCGCTTTCCTTCTTTATAACTATCTGGGATGATCCTTATCCCCCCTTGCAAATTAATATCGTATAATTCATGTATATATCAAATTCTGTCGGTGGCAGGGCACATGAGGTCCAAATCTTTTTGTAGATACTATCATTTGGCCCAAGAGCTGATTTTTCTGCCTAAATTTTCACCCGTGTTTTGCCTTTGGAAATTATCGAAAAAATAGTGATAAGCCAGGCAGAACGTCCAGGACTTTTGGATGTAAAATTTATACCCTTGAGTAGTATTGTGGTCCGTTGGTATTGTGGAGGTTAAACACCGAGGCTTTCTGCCATATCTAAAACAAGCTACACCGAATATATTATTAGTACACTGAGTCATGCATTAGCAGCATTTAGTCGCCCAAAATCTTGGTGAACGCTTGCATGCTTCACTAGATTATGCCATTCAGCAGCAAATTTTAATTTCCAGAAATCTTAGTGAACGCTTGCATGGATCACTAGATTATGTCGTCAGAGCGGACCATGAAATCAAAAGGAATACTTTAAAAAAGAGATAATTTGTTCAACTTTAGCAAATAATGGTGATTATAATCATTTACATTGGTGATCTTAAAAGTTCATGTTTGAATCGATTTCATGCGTTTTTTTTTTTTTTTTTTTTTTTTTTTAGCTTATATGACTAATTTATTTGCCAGACTTCGCGAAGCCAGTTTAAAGCTACAAGTCAATCAATTAAAATTAATCAAAACTACAAATATAGTACTTGATTTTATTGTAAAACTTTTTCTGTACAAACAAAACTGGGGAGAGAAGAATGCTCTCAATTTACAAATCTTTCAGATTTGCAAAAATAAGATAAAAATTTGTCTGCTTACTGTGAACACTTACCTGACTTTTCATTCTGACCTGAGCCATAAATTAGAATACTTTCTTCACTCGGTTGTTTCCGATTGTGTGTTGCATCTTTTGCAAGGCCAGCCACAAACTCAGATGAATCTATACTAATACAGGAGCAACTTAATTATGCACAAATAAGGTGCGGAAAGCAATACTTGAACAAGGATACACAAATTCTGGTTACAAAAACAGAATCGAATTTTATACGCTGCTTTATGTCTCAGTGTAGTAAAGCTTTCTTGTAACTTCCCATCTAGTAGATCGTAGATTTAGTGCAGTTATAAACCTATTAGTGCAATCATTACGAAACAAAGAAAACTACTGGACATTAGTGCTTAAATTAGTAAGGACTTATGAATGCTACTCACAAGCATGCTGCCGAACATAAATAATCTCGTATCATCCAATCTGATTCACTCATCTTATGGGAAAAAGAATAATGTATTTTTTTATTTTAAAACAAAAATTATAATTAAAAAATATTACTTTAATATAAAAATGTTTAATTTATATTATTTTACTTTTACATCATCATTTGCCATTCAAGATATCAAAATTAAATTTGTAATTTTTCTCTTATGCAGTTACGTAGAGTTATTTCTCTTGGGGTTTCATGGCCAGGATTTTACTATAAAAAGGAGTCTTTTAGGAGTTTTGCTATAAGAGTCCATAAATTTAGGAACCACTACTTTAAAACAACCGATGTCAATTAATATTTCAGACTGTTCCTCTATCATAAGAGATAAACGCTTTTTCAGTGCTCACGAAAATAATTATGGTATTGTAGAGTTGTAAGGTATTTCTCCCGCCTTCTTAGCATGCCTTCGTGGTGTAATGGTCAGGACGCTGGACGCGTATTCGAGAGGTCCATGGTTCGAGTCCCGGTGAGGGTATTGCTCATTTTTCATCTTTTCTACTTGTAAATAATCTAATGACTCTACAGTGGCGCCCAAACTAAAAGGTAGTGAATGATGATTCTCCACCACCAGGATTTGGCGATTGGGTCCGCTAAAATCCCAGTCGAACCTTTAAAAAAGGGGAGTATATAAGATATTTCTCCTGCCTTCTTACCATGCCTTCGTGTTATAGTGGTCAGCACGCTCGACGCGTATTCAAGAGGTCCGTGTTTCGAGTCCTGGCGAGGGCATTGCTCATTTTTCAGCTCTCTTGTTTCGAAATAATCTAATGACTCTACAGAATCAGAAGTTTTTTAAGGAAGAGACGTGAAAAATGTGCAGCATCCTCGCCGGAATGTGAACCTTCGACCTCTAGAATAAACGTTGAGTATGCTTCCAGTTATCCTTGGAGGGCAAAATGGCACTGGGGATTAGGAGATCCAATCGCCAAATCCTGGTGGTGGCGAATTATCGTCCACCAGCTTTAAGTTGGGGCGCCACTTGTCATTAGGGTTTTTGAACAGGAGACGGAAAAAATATGCAGTGCCGTCATTGGGACTCTAACCTGGACCTCCCAAATACGCGTCGAGTGTGTTTCCAGTTACACCACGACGGCGTGCGGAAAGGAGGGAGAAAATACCTTATGTACTCCGCCTTTTAAAGGACGACTGGGGATTAGGGGATCCAATCGCCAAACCCTAGTGGTGAAGAACCATCATCCGCCACATGAATAAGCACCATTTTATAGTATGGTGAACATAGTTCCTGGAAGAACACTATCTGAATAATTGGCATATTTACTTATCATTCGATTCCAAAGGATCGTTATCGTTTTCGTGAAAAAATACCACTTTTATAGCCTCGGTTGCATAAGGCAAGTGTTCGAAATTTCAGCATGCTGTTGAAGAGTGTGCTAAGCATGTTAAGAAATTGAGTATGAAATGCCGTGTAACATTGTTATCTATACTGTTCGGACCTGAAGCTTTATCTATCGTAAAATTTGATGACATTAGCTATTTCCGAAGTCCATGATAGTAGTTTGTCATACGCTACGACAAATTGTAGCAATTTCATCTCCTTATATCGTTAAGATACAGACTGCTTTTTGTATATGATCATGCTGAAAAATATTGGTAAAGATATGAACATGATTTGCCTCTTTAACCATCTGGAAGAATCTCTGCTATTCAGTACGGAAAATTGTATCGTCTTGTGCAGAATTTTTTTCATGAAATCTTTCGTATTGTAAATACTCATTCCTTTAATAAGTTATCATATTCTTTTCAAATGCGATTTATTACCATTTCTTTGAGTTCAAGATTTTGATATGCCTGGCATTACATCTCATAGCCTTGGTTCTCCAGCTTCTTTCTCTCCTTGCATTTTCTCATTTTAAGGATTGGGTGTATATCATATGCATTGGATGCCTTATATATTTAGATCACATATTGCGTATCTCTTAAATGCCAATCCTGAAAATGCAGGAAGAGACTTGAAGAAGCTAAATTATTGCCCAGAAGGCCTTTTCCATCTTTGGTCTAAGACGCCGCTGGTCCGTCAGCTTATGTGTATTTTAATTGGGAATTAGTTCCTGTTTTCCATTAGACGTTTTATTTTAGAATGTGTGCTTTATATTGTTGGAATACCAGTTAATTTGTATTGAGTTTACATATTACAATGAACTTCCCAACTGCAATTTCGTGATTGCCTTGTGGATAATTGCGACACAGTGTGCAAATTGCTATGGACACACATAATGAGGTGTGCAAACTGTTATGGACACACATAATGAGGTGTGCAAACTGTTAAGGATACGAAGTTATGATGTATCGAAGTGGACAAGTAGTATTTACTTGAACAATGAACTTAACAAAAGTGTACTTGGAATTTATCAAAAGTTAACTTAGAATCCAGTTTATATGGACATTGAATAGCCTACCCAACATCATATACTTTGGGCTATGGAACTATCAACTGCCTGAACTGATGTGACTGGCTTACTCTGTGGATAACTGCAAGAATAATACGGACACACGTCACTAGGTGTGTAACTGATAAGAATATGAAGTTATGACGTATTGAAGAAGACATAGGTTTAAAAACTGGTTAATATATAAGTTCCACTCTCCACAACATAGATCCTATCCATGACAATGTAATTATTAATTGATCGTATATTTATTTTTCATACGGATTATTATGTAACAATTATTGTATAGATGACATTGTCAATTTAGCATTGTAATATTACTATCATTGATTCATTGAATGCCGCTGGCGGTGGATGGTAGATTCTTTTCCGTCGCATGGACATATAACTCTGATTGGTGTAGAACCTTAGGTCGGAGGTCCATACGACTGCGTTTCGGTCCGTCAGCTGTACTGGACATAATCAACAGGTTAGAACTTAAAAATTCAGCGATATTCGGGCCACTCGGATTTTTCCTTTGTTTATGCACCCTGTCTATCTCATGCGTAGGAGTAAAATTTGTAAAGAATATAACAAAATGCCAGAATACCAAATGTAATTGCTGCATTGTTTGTTATTTGTGTGCTTTATTTAATCATAATTTGACTGCATTCGTTACGTACGATTATAAAACTAGGGAGTTTTTGAATGAATTTTCATTGTTGCTTTTAATACATATAATGAATAAATATATCAACTTTTTAATGAAAAGAATTTAACCTTACGGAAGCTTCGATTAATTGATTAAAATAAATAAGTTCCTATATTCAGTATGTTTGATTTTATGTTCATTGTCTAAAAATATAAGATGATTCATATTTTTTTCACTATTATTTAGGTTTCCTGGTGGCAAAGTTCCAAATTGGAATTTTAAAGATTTTATGCATTCTTTTATGATTGTGTTCCGGGTCCTTTGTGGTGAGTGGATAGAATCCATGTGGGATTGCTTGCTAGTAGGAGGCTGGACCTGCATTCCTTTTTTCCTATCTACAGTAGTAATTGGCAACCTAGTGGTATGTAAATTTTGTGTAATATTATTTCATAATAATTAGTTTCAGTTACCTGGTTTAAAGTAATCCATTATGAAAGTAATTTAATGTAACTACACCATTTTAAAATGGTTAATTCGTTATTTTAGCAATAAATTGCAGACTTGAAAAATTTGCAAATTCTTTTTCGCATTGTATGTCTTTAGCACATTTTTCATGAGCTTGTAGGGTTTATATTTATTTTAACTAACATTTATTTTAAGTTTAAACTATCTTTCCTGTCAAGCCTTACTTTTCCCTGGAACTGCCAATGCCAGAGTATGTAAATTTTAGTAGAACGCGCAAGGATTCAAATTATCAGCGGAAGTATTCTGTTAAATAGAAAGGAAACGAGTTCGAGTGTGCTGTTCTTACTTCACGAGCGCGGAGGTAGTTAGCCAGAAATTGAAGAACCCCGCGTTTCGGCCTGTGTGCTTGCCTTGGAGAATTGTTATTCGTTCAACGTGATATTCAAAGTTTGCTGAATTAGCAGCGGTATTGTAAAACGCGGTGAGGTTAGTTACTTTTAGAGAGCCTCGTAGTTAGAGTCTTGTTATTATTTCTTTTCAGGTTCTTATTTTTATTTTTATTTTACCGCCGGATCGGCGTAGTTTGTGAGCGTCAAGAGCACGCAATTGTAACTTCTTAAGTTGAATAAAAAGGGACTTAAACCCTTAGCAAGACTGTCTATTTTCCAGTTTCAACAGTCACCTCTTGGTTGCGTGCAAGTTGGAGGCGCGCAACTCTACAAGCTAATCAGGCATACGAATTATATCGAGTTGAAAGGTTACTATAAAGGAAAATAGGTTACCATAAATTAAGAATTTCCCTAAGTTGGCGCTAATAAAGAATGTTTGGTGCAAACTGAAAAAAGTGCGCCGAAACAATTTTTTTAATTTCGAAGTTTTTCACCAGATTTTACAAAGCTTAATACTTAGGCATAATTTGAGTCCTAGAATCGAAGTATGGAAAGCAGTCGATGTGCTATTCCAGAAAAAGTCCGATTTTCTCCCTCAGAGTAACTTATGTTAGAACAAAACTATATATAAATCTAATATGTATTCTAAGTCGCACTTTCGAGACATGGAAAAAGCAAATTAAATTTCATCAATTGTCCCAGAAGAACGCAAGATATAGAACCGTCTTTTTTTGTGTGTGTGTTTGCAAATAGTATACTATTTTCTTAATAATACATCGCAAATAATCTTTTTTAATAATCTTCCTTTTTCTATCGCAAATGCTCAGTTAACTGATTGCGACAAAAGGTTTAATTACTTAATGAAATAATTTAGATAAAGAGCAAAAGTGTTAAGTTCTCTTTTATTGCTGTTATGCATCCTTAAAATGCAGTTGAATCGCTTAAAATCTCGTAGTTCTACCTTATAGTTCTCATTCAGTCAGGTTGGATGTATGCTTGTACTTTCCATGTGACATTTTTTAATTCAAAGGTTTTTTTTTACTCAGAATTTATTGAAAGCTTTTCGTGACGCTGACCATAACCGATCTTTAGATGCCCGAAAAAAAAACCTATAATTTTATTTGGACGTTTAGTAATGTTTATTTTTTAGGTGCTGAACTTGTTTCTTGCCTTGTTACTGTCCTCTTTCGGAGCGGCTAATTTATCTCAAACTCCTGCAGATACAGCCGATACGAAAAAACTTCAGGAAGCAATTGACCGTTTTTCCAGAGCTAGCAACTGGCTGAAAAAGTTTTTACTTCAAGTGTTTAAGGTGATATTAATTATAACTCAAATGTTTTATGTGAATATGAGTTCTGTTTTATGAAAGAATATCACTGAAATAATACTGAAGTATTATTTCAATGATCAAAGGATTTAAATAATTAAATTTTTTATAATTAATCATAATTAACTTTTTGAAATCATAATAAATTTTCATTTTTTAAACATCATATTTAATTTTAATTATTTTTTGAAATCATAATTAATCATTTTTTGAAATTTTGATTTCAATGAAGTTTCCAAAACTACAAAATATAAAGAACCAAATTTTTATATATAACATGCATATGTAACTTATAAGTCTAGATATGCTTGTTCTAATTGTATTTATAGATCCAAATAAACAAAAGTGCCTATGGTAAAATTTGTTTCTATAACGTAATAATAAAGCATTTTGAATTCAGTTTTTATTTCCGAGGTTTCATAGTGGCCTGCGATTTTATATAACAGTAATAGCCTGATTCTAACTTGATATTTGATTTAGGTTTGAAAAGATTGATGATGTTAATAACAGAGGTTAAAGCTTTGACTATCATCAAAGAAAAGCATGCATCAGTCAAAACTGTCTTCAGTTTAGCTACCAGCATTTTTTTTTCACTCACTGTTTTTATTTCTGAGGCTCACTTGTGGTGTTTCACTGTAACTAGAATTTTGTACATCGCTTTTTTCGCCTACTTCCTTATAAGCTATCGGATTCAAATTTTGTACACACACTGTTTATTGATGATAATGTAATGTGGTGAAGAGATCTTTTCAAAATTCAATTTAAATTGTTTTTTATTAAATGTTTAAAGGATTTTTCATGCGTATCTTCGTTTAACGAATAAACTCAACATGCCAGCATTTTACCAGCTGCACCATCGAATAGAGCAGAAAAAATATCATTTCAGAGAAATTTGTAATAAAATTTGTAACTAAATTTTTGAATTTTAGTCCATTTTTTAAAATAGCTCGATTTCTTAAACTATTTGACTTTTATGATTTGTATTACATTTTTTAATTGTATTTTATTTTTTTTTTTAAAAAAAACCTCAGCACTCTCAGTTTGACTCAAGAATATCATCAGTTTAATGTTAATATCGAGCAAAAAAAAATAATAAATGCCGTCAATGTGTGAAATGTTATACCAAGAACATGCATTGCATCTCGTGTTAGATAGTTCACAATGATTGCCAGATTGACCAAGAGGTTATATTCACCTCTACTTCTCCTTGCTTTTGGTGTCCGTCACTAGATGCTTTACCCAAGAACCCAAAATTTATATACACTAAGGACTTAAATACATTCTAAAGGATCTTAACGGTTTATAAAAATTGCATGCCCAGCAATGCTTTTAAATGTAATGGGACTCTGGTTGTAATCAGTATTAAAGGCATCTGCCAGAAGGCACATCCACATCGCATAGGCGTATGATACTACTATAAAAAATGGTCATATCGCGATCACACCATGGTCATATCGTGGTCATACACGTTATTATGGTCATACTGCGTTACGGAACAAACAGAATAATTTCCAAACAGAGTAAAAGCTATATTACAAGCAAATCTAGAAAAAGATATTGGAAAATAAAATGACAATAAAAACTCATTGATATACTTGAATTAATCTTAATTTTATAGCAAAACAAGAAATAGTATATAGTACGATTTTTGAGCTCCTTAACTTTAACCAAGATTGCTTAAATTTATGGTAAAAATGATACTCAGATAATAAATATAATGTAAACTTACAAGTGATATCAGTATTTAGACTGTTTTATACTCATTATTTTTATGTGGTCATGTTTGCTATGTTACATCCAAGTTCAGTCGTATAAAATAAACTATTTAATTTCCTAAATTACTAATTACTATAGCTACCCTTTTGCTTTATTTCAGTCTATCCGTTTGAAATTCACCAATCAAATAAGAGATCAAACATCAGATATGAGGGAAGAGCTTGGGGATGCTACGGATGAATACGTTGCTGATGGTCAGTTGCCAATGCTGGAAAAATTTTCAAAACATGTTACTGATTTAGAAGTAGTTATAGGAGACGAAATGGAAATAGCTATACAAGGTACGTATTTAAAAAAATCTATAATTTATGCATTGTTAACTTACTTAAAAAGATATTTGAAATAATAAATTAAAAGAATTCTTACAGGTTATATTGCTTTCTTTTTCCCATTAAGCAGGAAATGGACAAGCAGTTCAAATGAAGGATTCATATAACTCTTTGAGACCAACAATGAATTGTGTTCCATTAGGTACGAAGATAGAAAAACAGCCTCTTAAAGTTAATAAGGAAAAGGTAAGAAAATTATGTTGAGAACAAAATGCAGCATAACTGTAAAAAATTTCTATGTTCGTGCGCTTTCTGACACACATATCTTTTACGTATAGTTTTGATTACAAATGAGCAGATTCTAGTTATTGTAAATTAGTCCTGACATTAAATTAAAATAGATAATGTTTACTAATAAAAACCAAGCACCATTGTAATTAGGAAGAAATTTGCTTTCCTAAAGCATAAAATAGCAAATGATACAATGTTGGAGCCACATGCAGGCCAGCATTCACATTCACAAAGATTTAGCTTGCTTAGATAATGACTTTATGTCTTATCCTTACTAACGCTTTTAAAATTCTATTAACTTAATTCTGAATTTTTGTTGCTACTTTTCATGACAGATGGCGCTACTTTCCTGTTCACTTTACTGCAGTAGGGTAGACATAGGATAGTCACGTGCGCTACTTTTCAGTCTTGCAAATTTTCTTGCTCCTGATGAAGAGGAACCTGTTTGCCTTCGAAATCGATCAAGTTATTTGTTTAAACCTACGGAAGATATAGGGATGTTTCTTCACTGTTAGTTTACCCAGGTGTACAACACAGCCGAACCACCTGACTGCAGGGTTTTCAAATGGCGCCTAGTCGCATCCTAAATGTGTTCGATTGGTGAGAGATCAGGAGAGGACGGTAGCCAAAAATTCATCTGTCCACCCTGCAAAGCCCGTTGGCTGATGCGATGAGCAGTGTGTGGTCAGGCATTACCTTGCTGATAAAGAGCACTGGAAGCAGCTGCAGCACATCATCCACGTACGGATAGGCCGTCATAGTGCCCTGAATACGAATTACAGGTGACTTGGAATCGTACGCAATTGCGCGCAAAACATGATGCCTCGTTGTTGCGCGGTGGGGCGTCCCACAATTGCTATCGGATTGGACCTGTCTCCACATCGATGCCATACTAGTACGTGGCGACTATCATTGAAAAAACAGAGGCGTAACTCACCTGAAAACATGACCATTGTAACAGCTTTAAATATTTTTATTAAAATCTTGTAATTTAAAATAAATAATTTAAATGGATGAGCAATGAAGGTATATGTTAACGGCAATGTTTGAAACGCAGGCTCGAGAGCCACGTACGGCTCTCGCACGAAGAATGTTATTTATTTTATTTTTAAATGTTAGAATACGTATTTCTCTTCTTATTTGTATGTCGCCATTTTGAGTGTTAAATAAAAGTTGCTGTGTTCCATCAATGGAGTTTGCTTCAAATTTCGAAAGACGTATCACACCGTGCGCCATTCCGTCGTCCACATCGCTCAATACTACTACTTTGCACCATTGCATTATGCACTCGGCACCATTGCAGACGATGAAGTCTATGATGTGGGGTAAATGGCAGTCTTCTTAACGGACGCCACGAGTGCAGGCCACTACTTCCAAACGACTGCATATGGTTCCGGTCGATATGGGAACATCCAGGATGTCTTGAACATGCTGCAGAATAGAAGGAGAAGTGGCTTGCAAGTTTGCCACCGCTTGTCGGCGGATGCGTCAATCCGCCGACAAGTCGGTGCTGACGTCACTCTGGCTGCACTGGCATCCTCGAACTTGCCACATTTCTTGTTCCAGTCATCGTTGCCACAGCCGGTGCATTGTGGACACGTCTAGGTGTGTGTCAGATGAGATTTGCCGTACAGACCAATCTGCCCTTCTCAGTCCGATCACCATGCCTCTTCTAAAATCTGTCCGCTGGAACTGTCTCCGTTGACGACAACCTGGCATTTTCTGCTTATACACATGTCTTCTGAGACAAGAACCAATTTTCTACGATAATTTCCCTAGCAGAAGTAACGGCATGAAAACTGAACATTCTGCAGGTTCCTTCCCTTGTATCTTCTTCAAATTGCGCTGCACGTTTCACATCATCCGTATAACTTAATGACGTACGTCTATTCTAAAATTTGCATAATTTTCGGGCCACTCCTTCCTTGTGTGGCATTTTCAATGTCGGGAAGTTGTATAATGTAGTCGGTATTAAATATATGCTAAATTCAATTAACATTGCATTGTTAAAATTTTGATTGCTGATTTGAAAAAAAAAATTGCACCTGCGAATTTTACAGAGGCGTGGAATGGAAATATAGAGAAAATTTGGCATGTCATTTAAGAAAATGTCCGACTTAATACATACGTCAAAATACATACGTTCAAATAAGGCTATATGTAAATCTGAGAGTCTTAAGTCGTGCTTTCGAGACTTAAGAAACACAAGTTGAATTTCGGCAGATTAGAACGAGAGAGATAAAACTGTCTTTCTTTTTTTTTAAAAATCTTGTTCGAGTCGGTAAAAAGCAATACAGGTTTCTAGGTAATATGTGTCGCAAATCACGACTCACTTTTTAAGGATATTATTTAATGGAATACCCAGGTTCAGTTAACATTATTTTTAAATCATTATTTAAACTAATTCGCATAATAAAAACAGAATATCTTGTGACATTATAAGTAACAAACATTTATGAAACAGAACATAGTGAGAATCTTTTAAACCTGGCGCCTATCTGTCTGTGTGACGCAAATAGCCAAAACTATTTGACGAACATATATACACAAGAAAAATACTTGTATAGCAGATTAGTAATATGATTGTTTTTGCATTCAAATTTTCTGCTGTTTTCCAGGAAAACGAACAAATGGGCAACAACAAAGTACATCCTTTAAACGATGACGAGAAAAGTAACAAATCTGATATAATCGAAAAGGGTTTAGTTGTTGCAAAAATTCCTAAAGAGGCAAGCGATCTATCTGCTGATGATGGGGAAGAAAAAAAGGACAGCAGTAAGGAGGACACTGAAAATACAGGTAATAATAATAACTGTACTGCTTTGACTTTGCATGACATATTGAAGTAATAATGTGATATTGAGGCAATAATGAAAATATCATCAATGACGTGATATTCTCAGATTGCTGACATTTAAAAAAATTACAAACTCAGAACTGTGAATATGTGAATAGTCTTCATTTTAAAAATCAGTCTTGGAATATGATTTTTTTTAGTTGTTCAATTTTCTGTTGATTTCTTTTACTGAAAGTTATCATTTAAATAGGCATCTATAGAGGATTTATGTGTGTGTAATGGGAAGGGGAGAGAAGTTGTAAACAACATCAAAGAAATATTAAAAAACATTACTGAAAAATGTTTTAATTACTCAAGTTAATTGTTAAACTATAATTCAAATCAATTTGCTAAATTATCAATATAAAATGTGGAGATTTCACTTAATTTATTTAACAGTTAATTTGTATTTTAAAGCAACTTTCGTTTTGTTCTTGTTTTCAACCCACACTTTTTTTGCCAGAATGTTAATGAGTTAGCACGCGTGTTTTCAACTGAGGTAGAAAGAAGTAGTATTTAAGGGAAAGTTTTGGACGGTGATTTTAGAGCGTGTTATGCCTGCTTGAAGGCCACGTAGCTATCTTTAATTTGCTAGTCATTAGATATCTATGACGTTGACGACTTCCAACAGAAGCATTCATTAAAAGATGAATGCAATATTTGCATTTCTAGTGGGCTTGGATCAATAATATCACCTCATGATGGCTTTGAATGCCCCGTTCTTAATTATCTGGAGCGAATTTAGTATTCCAGTTTTAGATGACTCTTAAACTAATCTTCCTTTCACTTTGATTTAAAAAGAATCTGAGAAAACGTAAAATGTCTAAACTGTTATTCAAGATTTTTTTTTGGGGGGGGTGGAATTTTATTGAGAAAATGAACCTTAAGATTGAAGAATTTTAATTGTGTATTTATCTTTTACTAAATGTTACTTTTTTATATTTTTAATAAATATAAGTGTATTTTTGAAACTTGGGCTCTTAAATTTGTTATTCACTAAACGTATATTTCGCATTTTGATTTAATTAATAAATTTTAAGTAAAGTTTTTTCCCTTTTTATTATTCTTATGCGAAAATTCGACAGACAGAAGAACTTTCTCGCTCTTTACAGTATTTAATTTTCTCCTTAACAGAAGATTGCTCCGTTTAATTAGGGACTCTATTCACAAAATCGAGTGTGTGCTTACTGTTTATATTTCATTTTCTCCTAAATAAACGATTGCTCTATTTGGCTATAAACTCTATTCATAAATCGATTCAACATCCACACGTTTAACCATTAATTTGTATCGTATTTTTGTTACATTTTTTCTTAGTTAAATTAATTTAACAAGTGAAATTTCAATTTTAAAAACCACTCTTGAACTTCTCACAATTAAGTCGCAAACATTTACCAACTTCTGATAAAAGTTTGGAAGTCTTAGCGACTTCTGACAATTACGTCCGAGTCCTTGAAAGCAAGATGATGCAAGATGTTAGGATGTATTGTATTTGCCCTTCAAGGTTATGTAAGTTAATAAACCTATATGGAACTCTGTAACTGAGCACAACTGCTATGAATAGTTGTGCGCCTCCCATTTTGGTTGCAATCGGTTGCCCCAAAAGCATATATATATATATAAATTCACTCTGTTACCCGGCTCGGTGAACTCAGTTTTTTAGTTCTTATATATTGGTAAATGTGTATTGCTTGCTTTAAAAGTGATTGAATTATGTTCTTATGTTCCAGTTAAAGGTGCCTTTAGTTAATCTGCATTGCAATAGTTGTAGAATTATCAAAAATTCAAATATTATAGATTATAATATTAATAGTGAATTAAGTCAGTTTCTGTACCAACTTCAATGTCTTTTTGCCGAGTAGGACCAAACGTAAACTTTTAGTTTTGTGTAACGAAAAATGTATATTCCTGCCTGCTGGCAGAATTGCTTGTTTTTGCGTAAAATCTGTAATTTTAGTTCTAAAAAAAAATTTTTTTAGCTGTATTTGGTGTTTTATGTTTTTTTGTATTTTACAATTTGTAGGGAAGATGTTTTGAGTTTTTATATATTTTAGCCTAGCCGCGAAGTCAAAACTGAATTGAGTGAATGAGAAATATATCTCTAATGGAATTCGAGGAAATAAATTTAAAAGAAATACAGCAAAAAATATGTGTTTAATTTAGTAGGCCATTCGATTAAGTCATGTGGTGTCCACATCAGATTTGTTTTAAATATGAACTTATCAATATGGATGTTACACACGTGCACTTTTAAAGACATTCATTCTATAGTACATTTTGCACTAGTTCCAAACTAGTTCGTTTTTTTTTTTTTTTTTTTTTTATTTTTTTTTTTTATTTTTATTTTTAGTCCAAAGGGATTTGAATCCCGAAGGACTATTAGTTTCGTTTTGGCATTTTGCGTCGGACGGATAAATGTCGGTTCACTTTTCAAACTGTTGCCATAAAATGTTAGAGTCCTGCATTATATTTGAAGAAATTAAATAATGAAAATCTGCGTAAATGTATGTATATTTCTCACATTGTCATAAAATAACGGTATATAGAGTCATCGAATTTTGAATAACGTAATCCTCCAACGAATATGAGCATGTGGAAGATCAAATTTGAAATTTGAAATTTGTTTTATGATCGATTTCCTATTTTTTAAAACTTTGACGAATTTTTGATTAACAAACTCAAGGATTTCAAAGCGAGCAATGGCAACGTTGTGCAGAAAAAAACATTTTTATCTCCAGCGCGTGAGTCTCTGTATCGGAAATTCTAAAGATATGCTCGTTTTAAAACTATTTTGCGATATTGCTGTTGCACTGGATCTTATGGTTTAAGTGCGAGGAACATGATATTTAATAAAGAAAGGTAACACACAAAATGTTAAAAAACGCCCCTTTGGACGTAATTTAAAATCTGAAACAATGCCTATTGGTCTTGTGAATGTCCAGAAATTATTAACCAAAGCTATCACAAACCCTTTTCCGATTATAAATAGGTTTCATGGGTTATTCTTTCCATAACATGATCTTTATTTAAAATACGATAATTATTTCTACTTTGATCATATTTGTAGGTTATTCAGAGAAAACGCTTTGGAGGTATTGAAAGCAGCTAGCTTGTATATAGAGCTTTTATAAATTGGTTTATTGAATTCATTTTGATATGCAGCAGTGATATCATCACCTTCTGCATATGTAGCAATAGCTTCTATTTTATGTAACTGTCTGAAATTTAAATAACAGTTCGTTATAGCTTGTTCTTCCACTATAGTGTGCTTTGATGTGTTTGCTCTTGCAATAAAAGGGATTCCTTGCAATTTCAATGGCTGTTTTAAAACCAGCTTGATGACTACTACTAATTTGATTCTGTAGTGATTTCTAGTTTCATATTCATCATATTTGAAAACATAGGGTAATATTACAGATATTTCTATGTGGGGCGAAAGCTTAGCAGTTAGCAAGGCCCGGTGATTCCTAATTTGCCTAATTACCTGCTTGAGAATTGAAAATTTTTCATCACAATGGAAAATAGGTAAATTGGTATTAATTCCAAAATTCAAAGCATCTCGGCGAGGTTCTCCAGAAATATATCGTAAATGCATACTTCCCTTTAATATATGTCATAACAGAAGCTCGTAAGATTCTGTACTGTGTACTTTTAAGTTACAGTTGAATTTGAAGAATCTTAAAAACTGGTAAACAAATGATCGCTTGAGTTCGTGAGAAAGTAAGACTTAAAAAAGGTTAAAGATCCTTTATTATTCCAAATTAAAGTTTAAAAGAACTCCGTCTGAGAGTTTTACACTCTGGGAGTTCAAGCCGCCACTAGGGTTTGAACTCAAAAACTAAGAAATTAACTTAACTAATCTTTCCTAAAAAGATATAGCCAAAGCTATCAAGATTCTAACCGAGTTGGCCCCTTAAAGCTGAATAACGGCGAAGCTATCAAGGGCCTAAGTACGGCCGAGCGTAATAATAGCTTGAGAGAGAGTAGCCTAAAAAAGCGGACGCGTGCTAGCCAGAATCACTAGTTCTCTTTAACTAAGACAGTAGACTTTCGCGGTTAAATACTTCTCCTCAATTTGCATTCAAACGCGTTAGTAAAACTACGTTCTAGCCGGAAGTTGCAAGTTAAAATTAAGAAGCGATAGCAAAGAAACTTTAACTCAAAATTTAACTGTTAGAAAAATTAACATAATCCTTACAAGCTCATTTGTTAATCATACACATATATTTGCAATGAATTATTTACAGTATGCAGATGAAAATATAGCTGCGTTTGTGTGTAAAATGCGAGTAGTACAAAGAGAACATAATGCGATGCTGAAACCAACCCGGTGTATTTTGTTCAGAAAATAGATTCGCTGTTCAAAATCTTCTCAAAAGTTGTCTTTGTTGTTAATGATTTAAATATATTTTTGTATTTTCTTTGGATACCGCTTATTATATCAATCAGTAAACAGAAATCTCGGATTCGATCGTCAACGAGGGTGCAGTGAATTTTTTCAAGATTTTCTACCTCCAACTCTTCTTTCCTGTATTTTAAATCATCTCATTATTCCTGCTGGCCTGCCTTGACGACGTCATTTTATTTCTTGTAATTTTGCTCGGATATAAGATCTTGATTTCGAAGAAAATCGGAAATCAGTTGATACCACACCGGAAGGATAGAATGCAGGTTCAACATCTTGATGTGTGACCACTCGCTAACAAGACTATAGAATCATTAGGTTATTTTCAAGCACGAGACATGAAAAATGAGCAATACCCTTGCCGGGACTCGAACCTGACCTTTTCGAATACGCGCCGAATGTGCTAACCGTTACATCATAAAAGCATGCTGGAAGGAGGGAGGAAATACCTTTTAAGATCTTCTTAGGTATGAATATTGCAAATAATGAATACATTTTCTGCAGAAATTCGTCGATATCTTTCGAAAACATCTCAACAGTTATATTGGAAAATCCCAAAGATCTGAGGAGAAACATATCAACCGGGTGCATAGGTTTTCTCTACAAAGTTAATTAACTTTTTAACCTGCTCAGATGTACAAAATACTTCGCATTTATTTAAAACTTAAAAAGTATTCTTTCTTGTATTTCTAGGTGAATTCGACATGGATGGAGATTTCCACGTCGAAGATGATGTGGATACCGATAAAATCGAAACAGCTACAGCCGATATTATATTACCTGAACTTCCTGCAGACTGTTGTCCTGATTGCTGTTATGTGCGATTTCCTTTTTGTCAAGAAAAGGATACTCCTGCATGGAATAATTGGAAAGAAGCTCGTAGAAAAAGTTTCGTTATAGTTGAACATAAATATTTTGAAACTGTTATTATTACTATGATTTTAATCAGTAGTTTAGCCTTGGTAAGTATATTGCTTGTTTTCCTTTTTTTGCCTTTTCTTTTATATAAAGGGGAAAATAATTTTATTAGTATTATCAACATAATAATAGTTAATCATTAATGATAGCTAATCATTATAATCATATAATTAACAATAGTTACTTTCGGAAGCAAAGCTTACCGGAAGTTGTATTAGTAACCTAGAAAAGTTTCAAGATTGGTGCTATAACTGTCAAATATGTTGTATAATGAAAGCCTTTTAAATGCAAACAGCTTGAAAATAATACTTTTTTTTTTTTTTTTTTTTTGTAAATAATAATAATAAAAAATTGTGTGATGTAAATTAACCTTTCATCATCTAAATTAAAATAATAATCTGAAATAGTTATTTACTATTATGCTTCCATTCAGTTATGTTTAGCCTTTTTTATATATATTATAATAATAAAACTATGTATTATATGAAATTAACTTCTCATCTAAAATAAAAGCAATAACCTTAGTTACTATTATGCTTCCTTTCTTGCGTTAGGGTTGCCGTTAATTATTTTTGGCAGTACTGGGATCAACAATAGTTTGGCGAATTTTTACGGTCCTCAAAACCGAATTGTACCCTCTGATCTCACTCAAATCAAAGCATTAATTATAGTTTAGTATTTCTCAAACATTTCTCATCGCGAAACAGATTTTAAACTTCTAAAATTTTTAGAGGAACGTTAAAGTAAATTTGAGTTTTAGTTATCATAAACGATGAAGCAGGTGCACATATTTGGTGTAATTTTTACTTCCTTCTACGAAGTAAGGGAAGTATAATAATCTCGAAAAATTCCGGGTATCATATTTCAGCGAAAATATCCATTTTGACCGCTATCACGTGCAATTTAACTATGTTTTCGCGTGACATCTGCATATAAGGACAGAATAAAGGACTTTTTTCCCAAAATGAATTATAAAACTAATTTAAAATAGATTCAGAAGAGATTTTTTCGTGGCGTCTGTACGTATGTTACGTATGTATCTCGCATAACTCAAAAACGAGTAGCCTCGGAACGTTGAAATTTTGTATATAGGACTGCCATAGCATGTAATTGTGCGCCTCCAGGTCTTGGTAGCAATGGGCAGCGCCAAAAGTGTATATAATATATATATAATCATCCATTCTGTTACTCGGCTTATTGAACTCAGTTCTCAGTTTTTTTTAATTCTTGTATGTTGGTAAATTGTGCATGTTTTGCATTAAAAATGATTGAATTGTGTGGTTTTTACTCCTTACGTTAACTTCCACGCAATATTTGTAGAATTATCAACAATTCAAAAGTTGTTTAAGTGCAGTTAAGCCTACTTTTTAAATAACGTGGGGAGCATGTTTGTTTACATTTGAAACAGCAGAATAGTAGATTTGTTGCCAGTTTAAAGAAACTAAGCTTCGCATCAACAAAGATAACGTTTTCTTTTATTATTAAGAATTAAATCATGCTCAATCCATTCTGGAATTATCATTTAAGTTATTAAATTATCCCATACATTGACTCAGCATAGCGTCCACAACAAATTAAGCCAGTTTATACGACTGCAGTGTCTTTTTGCCGAGTGAGACCAAAAGCAAACATTCAGTTTTGTACACCGAAAAATCTGCCTTCTTGCCCACTGGCCGAATTGCTTCTTAGTTTTTTTTAGTTTAGAATTCCGTGGTCTAATTTTAATGGTAAAAATTATTCCTTAAATTGTTTTAACTGTATTTATATTTTATACTTTTCTATATTTTTCAATTTTTAATAAAGATATTTTGAGGTTTCATGTATCGAAGTGAGAACTGAACTAATTGAATGAGAAATACATCTCTAATGAAATTCGAGGAAATAACGAACGGATTAAACGAAGTGCAGGAAAAAATGCGTATAGTTTAATATTCCGTACGAGGAAGTCATGTGGTGTACACATCAGATTTTTATATAATATCAGTGCAAATTCTTTTAATATGAAGAAAAATGTTAAAAACTTGAATTCTTTTATCAGATGTAGCATTAATTCGGTTTCTATACTTAGATTTTGTAGCTGAATAATTTGAAAAACCTACCACGTATAAATATTGCCGCTAAAGGAAGTATAATATGAATGGCACGTTTTGATGTATTCATATATTATTCTTATAAATTTTCCCAAAATTAACTTTCTGGTAGTTACTTAAATTTTTGTTTTATGGCAAAATCGACCGTCAAACCAGTTAATTTTTCGAAACCAGTTGTGTTCATATCTATCGGCTTAATTGTCATCGTAAAAGTGTTTCGTATCTAAAAAAATGTTTTCCTGGCCAGTATTGATCAAAAGTTAATGGAAAAGTATGCAAATATTGTAAAACTGCTTTGTGTACTTTTATTCTTTCTTAAACTATTATAGTATTTCTTAAAGTATTATAGTGTTGAAGTTGTTGTTGTTGCTAACACTCTTTTGTCTGACCTATGGTCAGCACAAGCCCACGAAATTCCTCGTGGCAAGGAACGCAAGTTTACGCCTGTCGTTGGCAACAACAGCCTTGAGCACCTTACAGGTGACAGTGTGATTTAGTTCCGCCCCCTCCCCAATTTTGATGGAGAACACCCCGGGTACGAGGGTCTTTCAACCCCTTTCCCTACCATCAACTTCTCAAGAGGACTTTCGGCTCGCCGCATAGTTAGAGTGCCCCCCATGCTGCACTATACATTTACAAGCATTCATGCCTTCTCCGGGATTCGAATTTGGACCCTTCGGCACGACAGTCAGCGACGCTAACCACTATACCGGTTGGGCGGCAGTCTTAAAGCATTTTGTGTATTCTTAAAGAAAATTATATTAAAAAATATTTAAAATTTTATTAAATTATTGAAATTATATTATTTTTCGCGATTAATATTATTTTCTATTCATTTTTTGTAATGGAAACTATGCGAAAGTCGCTGAATGGGATGATATTAAAACAAGCCACCAAATTTAGTTTCACAGATGTTTTGAAATTTTGTATCTATTGTCACAATTGTAAATTGTAGATAGGCAGCAAATTGAAGGTAGCTGTGCTTTAAAAACTTTTTTTGTGTCACGAAAAGGCAGTATAATACCAATTATGAAACTTTTCGGAGCTACTATAGTGTTATTGATGCTTCAAAAGTTTTTAACTGTATATGAAATTTGATCTTTTATGCGTCAATTAAACGCCAATCTGGAAGACGTTTCATTAAAAAACTTATAATAGTGTCCCTTAGGAATATGTTAAAGTACCATTGCATAAGATTTTATATATTTTTATTGCATTTGTTTTCCTCAAGCTACTTTGTATACATGTTTTATGAAATTAATTGTTTTTTAACTTGTGTAGCAGAATATTTTATTGTTTTGTAATACTCTCTCTGAAGTGTTTCATGTAAAGTTTATAAGCAGTATTTAAAATGACTGGGTGAGTGAACGTCTCCTTTAGTAGCTGGCTCATAGGCCATGATTTCAATTTAAGAAACTAATGAAAAAATGTAGGCATTCAGACTACGACTATATTGGTCATGGGACACCTAATAAAACAAATATTTTTACTCATGCCACTGCAGATAAATTTACCATCATTAATTTAGTCTTTCCTAGAAGAACCTACTTTTGTTCATTAAAAAAAAAAAAAAAAAAAAAAAAAAAAAAAAAAACTGGTTCTGCGATACGCTGATGTGGCCCCAATACAATACAGAATTAGAATATGTATAGCTTAAACCAGTTTCCCTGATGAAAACAAACGGCTGAAAAAGTCAATTGTGCTAAATAAAATTTACCTAATTTTAGCATTCCTTATAAATAGAAATCTGAAACCGACACTTCCATATTAATGCAAGTGAAGTTTCCTTTTATAAATCTGAATTTTAAGTTTTATTTGAGTAGTTATTTAACACTATTTTTTACCTTTAACGTTCCTTAAAAGGTTTTAGTTAATCTTATTTCAATTTTTTATTAATTTTTGAGAGATCGTTTGAAACTTTTTCTTATCATCCCTGTGATTCTAAAGCGTTCTTAAGTAAGTCTATCAGGTTCAATGTTCCTTCTTCTTCGGGAACATGCAAGGACCTGACTCGGAACAGAGAGCTTACTAAAGCTATGTTCAATAACTGTGGGAAGTAGACAGGATACACAAGAAGGGTATACAAAACCCTTTATTTTTCTCTATTTACAATAACTTCCGTACTTCGGAATACACAGACCCGCTACTTGGGGTCTAACGTAAAAATATAAAAATTAAACTAAACTCTAATTTAACTTTAAAATAATAAACGTGGAAGATTGGCCTTATATTAACAGGAAGCCGTATGTAGTACAGAGAACTGTGAACACTACAATACGTTTTAAAATTTATCAAGAGGATTAAAACCTCTGGCCTGGAAGGCAACAGCAACTGCGTAAAACTTCTAAGGTAAGCGGCCTGCTTCGACTCACTGCTTCCTCCTCTCTCTCGCTTGGCAAAAAGCCACAACTTAAATACTTGGCGTTCGCCAGACAAACTTTGCATAAATAACCTTAACGCTTTATTTAATTCTGGCCGGAAGTAGAAAATAAGAAGTGATAGTAAAGATTTAAAATAAAATAAACGTTAGTAAAACTTAAGATCCTTACATACTTCCCGCCAGAGTTAATTAGTTTGAAACTGAGGTCTAAAACGACCTTGTTGAAAACTTTTAGCTCTAGAATCTAACGCGAGGCCAATCTTTTACAAACATTTTTCGCTAGAAACTAGAAATTTAAAAGAAAGAAATTGTTTTTACAATAGCAGCTCCCAGGATATACAACAATTTTTTTCATCTGTACTGCATCTAAACAGGAGCTTTTATTCAAATCTGGTTCCTTCCAGAGATCTGGAAGGAAAACTAGTTTAATGAAATGTTACACAATGAAATGGCAAGTAACATGTAATATTATATTTCTCTTAACATTCTTATTTCATTCATGACTATTTTAATTATCTCTCCCCGTGCTCTCTGACATGTGTTGTAAAAGAACACCAAACACGAATGTGTTTCT